ACACTTTTCAACATCCAATCAAATCCTGACCGGATAAAGTCGAGTCCCACCTTATACAGTATATTTCATTGCATATTTTATCACTCAGAAATACGTCACATTATAGAGATTAAATGGGTTGTGAATGCTGTTCCATGTTGATACTGGCTTAGAGTAACAAGGGAAGGGAAAGGAAAAAGCTAGCTATTATGTAAAATTAAACGAGAAATCATACACTCGCTAGCAGTCCAGACGTCCATGAACTAAAGGTGTGATGCTCTTCTGCAAAGAAAAATTTATAAGAATGATCTTAAAACATTCAGTGAAATTACTGAGATCAGTAATAGAGCCATCCTTCTCAATTTTGAGAAATTAATACCTTATCAAGCATAACAGATCAATTTTCTGATTTTTCGATTTTCAGTTCTGAATAGTGTAGTAAATGCCGAGTCCAGTCCATAATAAGCACAGCAGTGAGAGAGAGAGATGATGATGGAGCGCTGCTCCTGTATTTCAGTCATCCTGTAATGAGAGGATGTGGTTGAACTCATTATGGTTTAGATCTCAGACTGCTCTTTTTACAGCACCTCATCAAACATTCCCTGGAGAAACTTTACAGCACAAATAAATGTCAAAACAAACAAATTCAGTGTGAAACATCCTAAATACTTCATAAAATTACAAACATTTTCCATGTTACCCATAGTTTTCTATCTATCTATCTATCTATCTATCTATCTATCTATCTGTCTATCTATTATGCATGATTTATTTTCTAAACAAAATAAAAAGTTATATTACACAAATAATTTGATGTTAAACATTTTAAGTCATCAAATTACAAACATTTACCATGTTACCCATAAATAAACACATAAATCAATAAATAAGAGATCTTTTCCCAACAGAATCACTTATTTATTATGCATGTATTATGTATTATTTATTTTCAAAACAAAGGAAAAAAGTTACTTTAAACACCATCGGAATCTTAAAGATTCTAAATCTGTCACAAAATCACAAATACTTACCATGTTAACCATTGTTTTAAATAAATATGGAATCTCCTTCAAATAGTGTAAACATTTATTTATTTATTCATTCATTCATATTCTAACTATATATGCTTTATGGTATTTTGAAACCATGCATACCATGTTAAATGTTCGGAAGGGAGTTTGTTTGTTTGTTGTCTGTTAGGTCTCCAGTAAATGTCACAATTAGGCCAAATGATCTAAAAACAAATCTTTAATTCTTCAACTGACTGTCAGTGTAGAATGCACTAGATGAAAGCAGAACTAAAACACAAAACATATAGATATATGTGACCCTGGACCACAAAACCAGTCATAAGGGTCAATTTTTCGAAATTGAGATTTATACATCATCTGAAAGCTGAAAAAATAATCAATGGCTGCTTTCCATTGATGTATGGTTTGTTAGGATAGGACAATATTTGGCTGAGATACAACTATTTGAAAATCTGGAATCTGAGGGTGCAAAAAAATCTAAATATTGAGAAAATCGCCTTTAAAGTTGTCCAAATGAAGTTCTTAGCAATGCATATTACTAATCAAAAATTAAGTTGTGATATATTTACGGTAGGAAATTTACAAAATATCTTCATGGAACATGATCTTTACTTAATATCCTAATGATTTTTGGCATAAAAGAAAAATGGATAATTTTGACCCATACAATGTATTTTTGGCTATTGCTACAAATATACCCCAGCGACTTAAGACTGCTTTTGTGCTCCAGGGTCACAAATTATTGATGTAAAATACCTGTCTATCATTCCCAATCTCTCGGTACACTTGAAGGAGTGTCATTGATATTATGATGATCTGTTGGTGGTGAAGGACATGAGCACCTGTGGGCACATCTGGACCAGCGTTCTCACGGGCGACCAAGCGAGGTGACAGGAAGGATGCCAGAGCACTTCCTCTAGTGTCCCTCCATCAAGCAGCTGTGCGTCTCATAAAGGCCATATGTTGTAGACGTCTCTTCACCTCCTCGGATTTCTCTTTCATCCTCTCTCTCTCTCTCTCTTTATTCTGTCTGTAAATCCTCCCGCTCTGTGGACTCCATCTGATAACGAGTCTCCAGTCATTTTCAGGCTTTATTTTATTAGTGGCATTTTATCCAAGACTGAGGTCCTCCGAGATGCTCGTTTGATATTTAATCTTTCCGTTATGGCCTGGAAAACACTATTACGCGCCACTGGCTCCATACTGGCGTCTGCGCAGCTCTCGCACTGACAGACTTTATGGATTTTGTCTGTTTGACTATTAAAAAGCTTTAATTGACTACATTGCATTCATTTATCTCTCAGCGATTCCTGCGTGATTTAACTGGTCAGACAAATGGATGAATTCACATAATAGTGTCGTGTTCACAATCATAAATACTGTCTACACTTCCAGTATGCTCATAAAAGCAGTCAAGCCATTTCTTACCTGTTAGTCTCAGGATCAGATGAACTGCACAGGACAATGACAAAAGCTAACTGGAATCTGCAGGTCACACCTGATTCATTACAAGTCGTGTTTACATGTTTCAAAAAACTGCTAGAATGTCCAAAAAATAACTTATTGAGGATTTTGAGATTTTTACAGGTTTATATCCTTCACTGAAATGAGTGGAAATACAAATATAAATTATTTAAAGTTTTTTGCATGCTGGTCTATGATTATGATAGCGCTATAAAACTAGGATTCCCAAACTAGGGGGAAAAAAATAAATACATTTATACATTTATACTGCAAAAAATACTACTCGTCAATGAATCCAGAAGAATTGTATTATGATTCCCACAAAAAAATAAATGTTTTGCTTTAAAATTATTCATTTTAATTTTTATGATTGAATTCATTATTAGCTTTTCATCAACTCACAACCACTAAGCTCAGGAAAACCTGCTATATAAAATAGTTTCATACCAACAAATATCACATAAAAATAAAAATAACTGCATTTGGTCACTTTTTTAACAAGCTGAACTCTTATGGTTATTGTCAAGTTTGGCTATGTGAGACTTGCCCGCCAACACAATTATAAACCACACAAATTTGCATTTTATTTGAATGAACTAATAATAAAAAGCAATATAATGCAGATTGACTGATAAGCAGAGCAAGTCCCAGCATATCTTTCCTGAGGGTCCTGCAGGCCTGTGTCTCTCCACAGCTTCAGCAGAGGAGGATTTTAATTAAAAACCGAATCAGAGATGATAAACAATCATTCGCAGACCGGGGAGAAATGCACGGAAGGAAAGAGGAGTGTGTAAATGAACAGTTAATGAACTGGGAGGCAAAGCACAGCAGACAGACGGAGAAATAAAATGGCAAATCTACATTCAAATAATCAGAGGAATCCCGTTGAAACCCTCACTGGAACTACAGGAGCATCTGGACGCTCACGAGGAACAATTAAACTGAGAAGCAAATGTCAAACAGACAGACAGAGAGAAAGGAAGGATGACAGAAAGACCTTTTGTGTCTTATTTCGTCCTGCAGTCCATCAGATGTGTTTTCATCTGGTCCAGCTGGAGCACGGGCAGAGGTGATAATCTGGACCCAGCTGTGTTCCTGTCTTTAGTAATGTGCTTCTGATTCCTCACGTCCTCCAGCCGGCCACAAGTCATCTGGTCAGATCATGCGTGTGTGATTAGATGAGAAAGAAGACTGAGAGAACAGAAAAGAGAAAGCATAACCTTCATTTTTTTTTATTTATCAATCTCTGATGGGTTCGGTGAAACAAGACAGCACAAGTATAGTATTTGAATGTATATATTTGAGTCAGAACAACTACCAATTGCTGGCAATTGTGTGTTTGGAGGTATGTACAAATGCAAGTACATTGACGGACATTAATGTTTTGTGTCTTTATGGATGGCAGTGATTACAGTAATGATTCTCATTATATTTTCTAAATTAATGAGATGATTTCTGGTCTTCATAATCTTATAGCAGGGTTGGATCCAATAGACCCCTCACAGATCCAGACCAAGAACACAACCAGAATATCAATAGACATCACCTGTGATGGATGAA